TAATGGTATGTGATGCCTGTCCGCTGAAATTTAGCCACACTAACTTTTGTCTGTTTTGCCTGGCAGTATATAAATCTGAAAACTCAAAAGATATCTATTCTCCTTAAAAAGAGGTTTACTACACCAAACTGGATAAAGGTGATTCTTATTCTGTACCATAACCTAAGTTTATTCATTTATTGTAAGATAGCATGTAGCTTAGTAGATTGTTCCAATATTGTTTAGAACATTTGTTCTGATGCTTTTTTATTCAACAACAGCACAAGGAGCCACGAGAAGTCCATATGTTTGTCGACTTGCTATTTCAAGAGGTGCTCCCTTCAATTATATAACCAAATCTTCATAGCTGTTGTTACTTTTTCTAGTATATAAATTTATCAAAGTATCTTCATATTAGGCGAAACTTTTTACATCTTTGTTTCTTATTTGTTTACTCTAATTGGTGGAAAAAGTACCTATGCTTATTGTTTGAGCGTACTTCTTGGATATGCTACTCTAATATTCTAGCAATCTGAATTTAATTAACTTGAGATAGGATTACAACAATACAAAAAACGTCTTGATCTTTGGATTTGGCTACATTTAGTCTCATGGTTTTCCTTTTAAGGTTTTTATATCTTCTATTTGTCAAGCTCAAATAAGATAGCTGAACAAGGAAGGCATACTCATATTTATCATTATATTCTTATCATAATTTCTGACCATATACTTCTATTGTTTTCAACCATTTTCATCCTCATCCTTAGGAGAATTGTTATGTGTACCAATTATTCTTGTTAAGGGTGTTCTGTAATTTTTATTTTCTTTTGTACGCACCCAACACACCCATGATTTTCTTTTGCCCGCGTCCAGGCAGAACTCAGAGCATGCACAACACACACATGCACACATGGTTATATAGGATATGATGTGTATGAGGTGGCCTCGCAACATACAGATCATTTGTGAACTGTAAGTAGCACTTTTGAAGATTAGGCTTATTTGGAAGGTAGGCTTGCCTTTAGAAAAACTGTTATTAAAGTTAGCAATATTGGCTTACAGTGACCATTTGGGTTAAAATTGTCTGAAAGGATTTAATGGTATTGCTGAGTATAATCCTGTAATGCTAGATCAGTAGTGTTCAACTTTGAAGGTAGCCCATGAACATGATAGGTAGGGAGTCTCTGTAGGTTAGCTTTGTTCTGGGTTGTTGTTTTAAATAATGACATTTTCGTCTAATTGAGGAGCAAAATGCACCATTTGTCTTTACCAGATTCTACGTCTCTCCTGTTTGCAATAAAGGGCAATTTGGAGCAGGCATCGTAGCTCCACAGTTGGTAATGACAAATTATCATGTATTAAGAATGTAACATCCTTCCATTCACTGCAACCTGCAACTAACATGGTGGATATCACATGCTCTATATAAAAAAGGAATCCTTATTAGTAACTATATGATGGGTGTTCTGTCCCTTTGTTGTGCATATTGCATTTTGGTGACTGGAAAAGTGTTCTTCTTAATGTCTGATAACTTGTTTGCTTTCTCATTATTTGGATTCACATCTCACAGTTGGAAGGCATAAGAAATGAAGTAAGCCAAATTTTGCCTCGTGGAGTTGTTCGAAGGCATCGCCATTCTGACAGCACAGGAAGCACTAATTCTTCTCGAAGTAATCCACTGCGTGAAGATAAATTAAGCCGATCAAATACACAGCGCGCTAGAAGCCAACTTCTGGAAAGCCATCTTGCCAAGTTATTCGAGCAGAAAATGGAGATATTTACAAAAATTGAATATACACAGGCGAGTTTGCACCCATCTTCACATGGAAAGTCATATACATGCCTACATGTGCACTTTTTTTGACATGTGAACTGATAAGCATCATGCATGCCTCCTGTTTGCACGTCTTTGCTTACAATTAGTCAAGACAATGGAATTTGTGACTAAGTAGTTCTGCACTTAAAGGGACAAATTCTGCCATAGAAAATAGTTATGTACTGTTTGCTTTAGTACCAAAAGTAATGGTGATAAAACCTCAGTTGTATTTCTTGAATGCGAAACAGGAAAAGTGCAAGATAATACGTAGATTATTAGTTGGTTTAATCTGGAACACGTTAATAGGTTTTTTTTTGGGGATACGAGGGACACCTTGGCAAGGCACAAGGATCCCCAGTCTGTAGCCCGAGATTGATCCCGGCCCCTACCAAGTAAACCCTGGGCATGTGGGTACCACCTGCCATTCCCACACTCAAGTTAGGCAGACGGGATCGAACTAGGGGCCTGGGGGTTGTTGGCAGTATTACCACTGTGTCTACAGACCACCTGCGCTACCCGCGGTGGGTTGTTCATATGAATTATGTATTGCTTTTATCATTGAGTATGCACTCTGTATCTTCATTTTCAGGAATCTGTGATATCAACTGCTGTGAAGCTCTGCCTGAAAAGCTTGCAAGAGTTTGTACGGCTCCAAACTTTCAATCGTAGTGGATACCAGCAGATTCAATTGGACATTGAATTCTTGAAGAAGCCTTTGAAAGAATTTGTTGATGATGATGCAGCCGTTGACTTCCTACTACAAGAGGTGGGAGGAATTTTATGCATAGGCATGAATTGCCATGCTATACACAGGATTTTGGTTTATTGCGATGCTATACAGGATTTTGGTTTTCTTTGTTAGATTGATAATTTGTTTATTGACTTATTCACTTCATGTTTAGAATTCAATAATAACAACAACAACAACAACTAGCAGGATTGTTCATTTTTGGGTCATGCCTTGTTTACTACGTGATTTAAGGTTTGACATTAGACTGGATATGAACTGAACCCTCAGCATCCAGATGAAAATAAGCAACTGCAAGAGAATGCATAGTATTTAGCTTTGCTGCTATCGGCTAGCTTTTTTTTATTTTAATCATGCCTTCTTTATTACATGATTTGAGGTTTGGCATTATACTGCATCTAACCGAATCCACAAGCATCTAAATGAAAAGGGGAGTTTGTAACTCCGACATCATATTTGATCATTACATTTTTTCCTTTTTTTTTTGGCTGCTATCAGCTACTATTGATAAGGCTTATTAGTTTAGTTCTTATTGGTTCTTAGGTACACAATCCTGTACAGTCATAAACACTTATTACTTCGTTTGTTCCTTTTCCTTATATCTACAAGTANCCCCCCCAAACTGTCCTTTTTTATTTTTGTTTTTTCTGTTTTGTTTCTGGTTCTCAAGTATCTTTATTTAACTCATTTAATGCTTCAGGGAAATTGTGGAAGCTATGTCTGACATTAGGACCACTACTTTTAGAGATAATGGCACTGATATATCATTTTTTCTTATTGGTGTTAATTACGTTTTCCATCTTAGAACATTGATTAGATTTTACTGGCTGTGATCTCTTTGACCTTGCATCTTCCGACATTCACGTCTTGCATGTGCTTGTTCTGGATTTCATTACAGTTTTTTCCTATTTCAATCTTCACGAATTGCACAATTATGCTGAAAATCAATACTAACCACCATCTGCAACCACCACGACCGTGCCTTGGCACCAAAAAAAAAAAAGATGAGAGAGAGATAAAACTGACTTCCCTTTTGCAGGTAACAAATGCAGCTCATGAAAGGTGTCTTGATCCAATTCCTTTGGAGGTACCCATATTGGACAAGCTTATAAATGCAAAACTAGCAAAGACCAGAGAGCAACATCCGAGCTCTCAATGATGGCAATATTAATGGTATTGCAATTTGTTTCTCAGCAATAGATTTTAGGCATTCTCTTTTGCGTGCTCATTGAAATTGTCCTAATACTTAAATCAACATTTGCAAATAAGGAAATAGAGAAGAGACTGTTATCTGCCAACAAACGCTGGAAATATGCCTTTATATTTGTTTTTGAGCAGAATTTTAAAGGGCTGTTCTGATAGTATCTTTTAATATTTGTTTTTGACTTTAAAGCGAAGGACTGTTCCATAAAATCCATACTAAGCTTCATAACGAAATCTATGTTTGATGCACTGTAGTTGCTTACCAGCAGAATTAAACTTAAAGGGAATAGAATCAATGACAACAATGATAAAACATCCAACAACTGGGAAAGATCGTTAAGACGATTTTGCTGTTAGCATGCTGCAGATGGAAAATTCTCTAATTATGCCATAAAAATTTTGTCCAAATTGTTTCTCGTCTCCAGATTCTAATCTATACTTTCAGTCTATGATAGAAATTGTTGTATGATATAAATTGTTGAATAAACATGTACATCCAATGCTTGTTGCTCGCACAGAGGCTACTCATGTACAAGCTCATCTAGGCATCGGCATTCTGGTTTAGCTGGTGTTGGTATTTGTTGGATGACTAAGCTAGGGATGCTTTTTTTTTTTTTGCCGGTGGGCTGGTGGCTCAACTTGAATGCTTGTTTGCTCCTTTGCACAGAGTGGAAAAAGAATATTGGAATCACTAATTCTGATCCTTCAGGTTTCAGTCACTGGAAATATTTATGCACATCAGCTAGGTCTATCTGAAAGTTCTGATACGTGTTTATACTACAGCAAAGAGTATATAATATACTTAAGTAATCCCTGCCTTAAATATGTATTATCATAAGATGCAAAATGATGATCATAATGATAATTATGGCTACAACCAAAATTACAACTTTTTAAGAGCCTTTAGGTCAAATCTTTGGAGTCCTGCATAGTTGCATTCTTCATTTTTCGTTAATGTCTACACCCCTTTCTAGCTTACTGGTGATAAGTCCAACTCCCCCTTTTCAATTTTTTGTTTCAAGAAATTGCAGCAACATGATACAGATAAAGTAGGCTTGGTTTGCTTAGTGCAAAAGTATGGCCTTGACTCATTTTCGTGTGCATTTACTAACAAAATTCTTTTTCCCCCTCTCTCCCCAGCCGGTGGTTACAAACTCAACATAGAAGGCTGAGGGATTCTTTTTTGTGTGTTTTGAGTCCCTACATGTATTATTTATGTGTATCAGTAATATACACTACAGATGTAACTTTAATGCTTATTAGAGTACACACAGGTTTTGTGAGAGAATTGTGGACAGGAGTTTCTCTCCTTATTCTTTTTCTTTCGAAGTTGTTGATGATGTTTGACTTCGATCTCTTTTAGCTCCAATTGACTTTGAGCAATGTGCGATAGTTGAGAATAAGAGATGGAGAAAAAAGAGATGAATCACAACAAGATATGAATACCTGTACAATTAGAGAAGCTCTCTTTTTCAATTTTCAAAGTCTTTTTTTTCCCCTCTTCATGTTGTTACCAAACCAAGTGCTTCAACTTCGATGGATGATTATGTCAGTTTGTTCCTTTATAATGTTTTACTGTAAGAAAGTGTTCGACAGAAGTTACAGCTCTTTGAACTTGATACGCAGAATATTTTGTATTCTATCCATTTGTGCAGGAACATCGATATAGTCCAGTAAATGCCCAGCTCTTGCTTATGTTGCTAAGTGATATTGTTTTGGTGAAGGTCATGTGAAAAATCTGTGACATGCTAGCTTCTCTCTATGCTGGTGTGTTATGGGATTGAGCAGTAAATTTATCGCACATTTATCCGAAACGATTTTTGTAAATACTTAGCCCATATTCTATTTTTTAAGTGTGTGTTCATAATGGTTACGTTCCAAGTATAGTTTAACTATGAATTGGATGTAACACTGAGTTTGTAAGTAAATTGACATTACTTTATGAATATATTTATAAATATCTACTGTGTCCGATAGCTGGTCCATTAGTCACGAGTGCTAATTGGCGATTTTTATCCATTTTTGACCATTTGGACCTAAAAGAAATTAAGTATGAGTGCTATATTCCATGAGTTTTAGTGTATTTTGTCCATTTTTGTTCGTTTTGATCCAATGATAATTAAGTGCGTCCTTCAAAATTTGTTAATCCATAGGCTATAATGCATGATTTTTTATCAGTTTTTATTCACTAAGACACAACATTAATTATTTATGCATAGTTATAAACCACTTTTTTATCCATTTTTGTTCGTGTAACCCATTGGTCAATAATTGTGTGCTTTAAAATTTGCAAGTTGTGACTACAATTGATGATTTTTGTTCATTTTCGTTTATTTCGGTCTAGTGATGATTAACTATGAGTACTTTAATGTTTACGCTTTTCATTTGCTCTATCTATGACAGTTGTCTATTTTTGTTTTTTCGGTGCAAATGACAACTAAGTTTGTATACTTAAAAATTTATAATTTTCATGGGCTAACCTATGGTTCTTGTCAATTTTTATTTTCTTCGAATCAATAGCGATAAAATACATGTATGACAAATTTATTGATTCAGTTGATTATAACTCATGTTTTTATTTTTTTCATTTTGATCCGATGGTAATTAGGTAATACCTACTTCAAAATTTATGATAGTCAAAGGCTATAATTGACAATTTTGGTCGATTTTCATTTTTCGCGAATCAAATGCAATTAATTGTTAGCACTTCAAAGTTCACGGTTTTTATGGGCTATAACCTCCATTTTTTGTCCATTTTTATTTGCTTTAGTTCAACGGGAATTACGTTTTTAAGGGGCTATAATCCATGTTTTTGATCCATTTGCGTTCATTTCAACTAAATAATAATTATGTAAATTTGCGATTCATGGTCTATAACCCATGATTTTTGTCATTTTTTGTTTGTTTCAATCAAATGATAATTAAGTGTGTGTAATTTACAATTCATGATTTTAATAGGATATAATTCACGTTTATGGTTCATTTTTGTATGTTCCAATGTGATAGTAATAGAATTTTCATAATTCCAAATTCGCCATTTTTATGGGGTATAGGCCACAATTTTTCTATTTTTATTCATATCGACTCAATAGTAATTAGCTTATGTACTTAAAGTTTGCGACTTTAAAAATTTTTATTTTTATTCATTTCGACTCAATAGTAATTAGGTTATGTACTTAAAATTTATGATTTTCATGGGTTATAACCTATGAGTTTGTCATTTTTCATTTGTTTCTACCAAATGATAATTAAGTATGTTTAATTTAAAAAATACAATTTTAAGGGATTATAATCTACGTTTTTGTCAATTTTTATTTTTTCGGCCCTATAGTAATAAAGTTTGTGTAGTTCAAAATTCACAAGTTTCACGGGCAATAACCCTCGATTCTACCATTTTTGTTTGTTTCAAACTAACTGTAATTAAATATGTGTAATTAATAAATCACATTTTAAGGGGCTCTAACCAAAGTTTTGGTCTATTTTCTTTCTTTTAGACCCAATAGCAATTAAGTTTGTGCACTTGAAAATTCATAATTTTCATAGGCTAACTTATGATTTTTTGCATTACTAGTTTTTACACACGTGCAATGCACGCAATTTAATACCATGATTAAGTATTTTTGACAGTTTGTGCTTATTTTTTTCTTTAAACTCTTACATCCCGATTATTTTTTTTATGTTTGTTTAAATGGGATACACCCAATTTAAATTTTCATGTTGATATTTGAATTGACAAAAAACAAATATAATTTAAAAATAATTTGAATTTTCATATTATTTTTGACCGATATGAAACTAAGCTTTATTTGAGAAAGTATAGCATTGCAAAGTGAAAAATATTAAAATAGTGTTATACAAGGAAGGTGAATATTTAAAACCAATATGACAAAATGATTGATTTAAAGTATGTTAAAACGGTACAAAAGAGAATATGAAGTTTATTCCTAATCATTGATAGACTTCATAAAAAAATATAAATTAAAGATTAATGCTAACTATAGTATACTTTTATATGATAAAAACATCCATATAAGAATATAAAAGTACTGAAAAAAATTCATGAAACTCCCTTCTAAAGATTACTAATTTCACTCAAAATAATTAAACTATTCTATAAAATATTCATAAAATATTGTTTATATTTCTTCTATTTTATTTTTTATTGAGTTAAGACCAATCCTTCTTCAGGTTTATCATTTATCATTTCTCGGACAATTCTAGAGTGTTGTCTTCATCATCTACATCAATTATGACATTAGGCTAATTTTGTATTTTTTTATGCTATTATCTTTCTTGGGCTCGTTAATTTTTTATCATCTCATTTAACTTTACAAAGAAGTCAAATGTACTTATGATGTTCAACACAAACTGCTCAAAATTTTTTCATAAAGATCTAAACTAAATACCTGCATTATTCATTACCAATTTCTCTTAGATTATAATATTAATATTTAATTTGAAGAACACAGTATGGAATTTATGAATACTTACTAATTTTTCTTATGTCTACGATGGAGATTTTTTTTATTAGGATAAAGTTATTAAATTATTTTTTAATGTAACTCATTCAGTGCTTCATTAATAGATATGTCTTATGTTAATGCCAATTCAAGTGATTCATTGACGTTTTCTGAATTTTAGATTTATTTCCATTACTTTCCCATTTGCAATGGAAATATTTCAATTCTTTTAAAGTTATTTCTAAATATTCTAATAGTTTCTCCATATGTAATTCCTTGTATTCTTTTACCCTATAAATATTATTAACGTCAAAGATTAAAGTTTCTAAATTAAAATCAATTAATGCTAAGGTATAATATTATAGTGTTTTATCATTTCTATGGATTTAAACATCTATCAATTAATGTTACGAATGTATTTTGGCTACCCCAACTTATTACTAAAATTATATGAAATTACTTTAATTTATATAGTGCTGATAATTTTTAATCTATAATATTTTTAAAAAATTTATCCATTAACTGGATGTTTTTAATCAATTCTTATTGTTTTTTTACCAGTATCAACTTAGACTATTCTTAGATGTTGAAAATGGATAGTAAATCCCTAAATTAGAAATTTTAATATATATATATATGAAAAATACCAAATAATTATACTTTTCTTTGCCAAGTTTTAAAATTTTAGCCCATTTTTGTGGTTTTGAACTTTGAGGGTGTGATTTATAATTTTTAAAATTTTGAAAGAGTTTTTAAAAAAATTTTACTTTTAAGTTTAGTAGTTGTAAATTCTATGTTTCATGTGTTGGTGGTAATTTTTTAAATGTTAGAATATTTCTTGTAACTCTAAAATTTTGAGGGTATCTTTTGTAATTATTAAAACTATAGATTAATTTTGAAAAATATTAAATTTCAGCGGTCTACCAATCGACGAATTTGATGTGTGCTAGTTAAAAATTTTGAAAATTTAGAGTTTTTTTACGATTTTTAAATTTTGAAGGAGTTTTTTAAAAATTTTGAGGTTAATTTTGACAAATTTTAAATTTTTAGGTGTCTAAGGGTAATATCTTGAATTCATCTTATTTTATTTACAAATTTTAGAATTTTAGGGTGGCTTTTTATAATTTGAACTTTTGAAGGTGTTTCTATAATTTTTGAGATATTGAGGGCGTTAATTAAAAAATTTAAATTTAAATGTTAAAAATTTTAGGTGTATCATGGTAATCTTTTGAATTCATCTGTGTTGTTTGTAAGTTTTAAAATTTTAGAATTTTAATGTGCTTGTCTGTAATTTAAACTTTTGAGGGTGTTTCTATAATTTTTAAGACATTGAGGTGTTAATTGTAAATTTTAAATTCTTTGCAAACTGATGTTAATTTTTTAATTTCATGTTTTTTATTTTAAGTTTTGAGACATTTGGATAAGTTTTATAATTTTGAACTTTTCAGGGTCTTTTCTGCAATTTTAAAACTTTTTATGGTTTTTTTGCAATACTTCATGTATTATAATATATTATCTACTTGTAATTTCTTTATCTTAACAAACTAATATCATTTTTATGTTTTATATATTTTATTAATATTAGTTTTTTTAAATTGTTAAGCTAAATATGGTTCACATAGGATTAGGATAAGATATGATTATGATTAGCATAGATTAAGATATAAATAAAATATTCAAAATAGTGAAGGGTAATATTGACCATTGAAAATTAGAATTTGATTATAGATAAGGTAGTTCAAACTATAAAGGGGTATATTTGTCTAAAAAAGATTTTCCGAACTCGTGCTTTTAAAGGGAGTATGATTTGTTTTATTCACCAAATAATAATTAAGTATGCACAATTGAAAATTTATTGATTTAGTTGATTATAACTCATATTTTTATTTTTATTTTTTATTTTGATCCAATGGTAATTAGGTAATGTCGACTTCAAAATTTATGATATTCAAAGGCTATAATTGACAATTTTGGTCGATTTTCATTTGTCGCGAATCAAATGCAATTAATTGTTAGCATTCACAATTTTTATGGGCTATAACCTTCATTTTTTGTCCATTTTTTATTCGTTTTAGTTCAATGAGAATTACGTTTTTAAGGGGCTATAATCCATGTTTTTGATTCATTTGCGTGCATTTCTACCAAATAATTATTATGTATATTTTAAAATTTGCGATTCATGGGCTATAACTCATGATTTTTGTCATTTTATATTTGTTTCGATCAAATGATATTTAAGTATGCCTAATTTACAATACATTAATTTAATAGGATATAATTCACGTTTATGGTTCATTTTTGTTTGTTCCAACGTGATAGTAATAGAATTTTTATAATTTCAAATTCTCTATTTTCATGGGCTATTTGCCATAATTTTTCTATTTTTATTCATTTCGACTCAATAGTAATTAGGTTATGTACTTAAAATTTTCGACTTTCAAAATTTTCATTTTATTCATTTTGACTCAATAGTAATTAGGTTATATACTTAAAATTTACGATTTTCATGTGTTATAACCTATGAGTTTGTCATTTTTCATTTGTTTCTACCAAATGATACTCAAGTATGCTTAATTTAAAAATACAATTTTAAGGGGTTATAACCTACATTTTTGTCAATTTTTATTTTTTTAGGCCCAATTGTAATAAAGTTTGTATAGTTCAAAATTTACAAGTTTCACGGGCAATAACCCTCGATTCTACCATTTTTGTTTGTTTCAAACTAACTGTAATTAAGTATGTGTAATTAATAAATCACATTTTAAGGGGCTATAACCCAAGTTTTGGTCTATTTTCTTTCTTTTCGACCCAATAGCAATTAAGTTTGTGCATTTAAAAATTCATAATTTTCATAGGCTACCTTATGATTTTTGGCATTATTTGTTTTATTCACCAAATAATAATTAAGTATGCACAATTAAAAATTTATTGATTTAGTTGATTATAACTCATATTTTTATTTTTATTTTTTATTTTGATCCAATGGTAAATAGGTAATGTCGACTTCAAAATTTATGATATTCAAAGGCTATAATTGACAATTTTGGTAGATTTTCATTTGTCGCGAATCAAATACAATTAATTGTTAGCATTCACAATTTTTATGGGCTATAACCTTCATTTTTTGTCCATTTTTATTCGTTTTAGTTCAATGAGAATTACGTTTTTACGGGGCTATAATCCATGTTTTTGATTCATTTGCGTGCATTTCTACCAAAAAATAATTATGTATATTTTAAAATTTGCGATTCATGGACTATAACTCATGATTTTTGTCATTTTATATTTGTTTCGATCAAATGATATTTAAGTATGCCTAATTTACAATACATTAATTTAATAGGATATAATTCACGTTTATGGTTCATTTTTGTTTGTTCCAACGTGATAGTAATAGAATTTTTATAATTTCAAATTCTCTATTTTCATGGGCTATTTGCCATAATTTTTCTATTTTTATTCATTTCGACTCAATAGAAATTAGGTTATGTACTTAAAATTTGCGAATTTCAAAATTTTCATTTTATTCATTTTGACTCAATAGTAATTAGGTTATGTACTTAAAATTTACAATTTTCATGTGTTATAACCTATGAGTTTGTCATTTTTCATTTGTTTCTACCAAATGATAATCAAGTATGCTTAATTTAAAAAATACAATTTTAAGGGGTTATAACGTATATTTTTGTCAATTTTTATTTTTTTAGGCCCAATTGTAATAAAGTTTGTATAGTTCAAAATTTACAAGTTTCACGGGCAATAACCCTCGATTCTACCATTTTTGTTTGTTTCAAACTAACTATAATTAAGTATGTGTAATTAATAAATCACATTTTAAGGGGCTATATCCCAAGTTTTGGTCTATTTTCTTTCTTTACGACCCAATAGCAATTAAGTTTGTGCACTTGAAAAATCACAATTTTCATAGGCTACCTTATGATTTTTGGCATTATTTGTTTTATTCACCAAATAATAATTAAGTATGCACAATTGAAAATTTATTGCTCCAAGAGGATATAACTCATGCATAAAAAGAGAAGATACAACCCTTTTTTATGTTTTTTTCAACCTAATAGTAAATAGTGTTTTTTAATTCGAACTTCGCGACTTTTATGGGCTATAACCCACATTTTAGATCTATTTTTGTTCACTTTGATTAAGTTGTGTGCTTTAGAATTTCTGATTACCATAGGCTATAACCCTTGATTTTATCTTTTTTATTTGTTTCGATCGTACGATAATTAAGCATGTGTAATTCAAAATTCACTATTGTAAGGGGCTACAACCCACGTTTAAAGTCCATTCCCATGGATTATAATCCACAATTTGGTTATTTTTCGTTTGCTTCCACATAATGATAATTAAGAATGCTTAATTTAAAAATCACAATTTTCAGGGTCTATCACCCATATTTTAAGTCCAGTTTTCTTCATTTCCACCCAATAACAAATAATTTTTTCATACTCTTAAATTCATAATTTTCATAAACCATATCCCATATTTTTTGTACGTTACGATCATTTCAATCCAACGACAAGAATATAATATCAGTTTCAAGGCCCAAAGGCCCAGAGCATCCAGTACCCAATTCAAGGCCCAATTATGTTGCACCTCCGAAAAGTCGAAAGCAGTGCCTCCGCCTTATTTGTCATTCCCCAATCACTTTAAAAAAAAAAAGGCCCAAACAAGTCTAGAAATGACGAGAATACCCCTCACATCCCCCCTTATTTACCCCTCCCTCCCCCTCCGAATCCGAACCCCCGCAGCCGCCATGGCCTCCTCGTCCGCCTCCGCACCCGAATCCTTAGCGGGTTCGTACCCGATACCCGTTTCCCCTCCGTACCCGGAGCTGTCGAGGGAGGTGGAGCTGAAGAGGGCGCCGGCGACGTGGTGTTCGAGGACACGTGGCTGGCCGTCGTCAACAAGCCCGCTGGGATCTACTGCGAGGCTCTGCTCTCCTCTCTCGCCTCTCGTGTTGGTGAGCATTTTTTGCTTTTAGGCCCCTCTTACTTTCCTCTAATTGATTATTATTAAGTGTGTAATTAAGATTTTTTGAGGTAGACGCTCTAATTCTGCATCTACTTCAATCTTTATCATGAGTATGGTTAATTGCGAACAGACCCCTGCTATGTAATTACCCAATTGGAATCGACCCCATTGTTTTAAATATCCCGACATGGCCTGATATGTCACCCTATTTATCCTTTTACAAGGCTTGTCGCAACGGATATGGCCCGATATGTCACCCCATTGTAATTACCCTTTTTTTGCTAATTTGGGGGATATATTCCCGATATGGCTGATATATCAACTGATATGTTGGTCGATATAACCTTTTATATGGCTTGTCGTGAAACAGTATACCGCGTTTGGTAATTTTTGGGCAAGACATCATGATCTTTCCATTATATCAAATAATATTGTTGCCTATAAAAAAAACAGACAAAATATTGCAATGTTGATTTGTACTTTTGTTTGTTTATAAGGTTGACTAGTGATCCTTAATATATATTATTCACAATTAGTATGCTTAGATTTCATTAGGCATGTTGAGATTACATTTTAGTTCATTATACTATACGCAAACATCCATTATGGCATTCTAATATTAACCACATATCTTCGATATTTTCCCGATATCTGCAATCCAATATGAATTTTGGTCATCTGATATTTCTCCGACCTCCGATATTTAAAACCTTGGGAATAGCATATTTCATGATGATGGTCAATGTATGCATAATGGGCCATGATAAGGGGAGATTTGTTTGCACTGCCCCTCCTTTGACTGGTGATTGGATTATACATTAGATTGTAAAGATCGATACGCGTTCAGACACTTAATTAATCATAAAACTCATCAGGACATGCTTTATTGAGCTAAGTGTCCAAAATCCATGGTTTTATTGTCCTTAATGATTTCAATGTTAATTCTGAGAACTGGCTCTCATTCTTACAGGATCCAACACCATCCAATCCGACCTACACCTCGCTAACAGGCTAGACCGAGACACGAGCGGTCTAATGGTCGTCACCAAATCAAACAAAGTCGCAGCAAAACTCGTCAAGGCATTCACCAACCGCAGGGTCAAGAAAACGTACCTCGCTCTCTGTATCAGCCGTGCACCAAACTGGGACAAAATCAGAATAACCTCAGGCCACGGGAGATCAAAGTTCGGAGCATGGCGTGTTTACTCTCTCTCAGATGTAGGCCGATCTCTCCCTGGAGGATCCACAGTTAGAGACATGACCACTTCATTCGAAGTTTTATCAATAAATAACAAAGGGAAGTATAGAGAACCTGCAGATATGGACACTGATGAGTTCGAATCGATTGTGGTTGAAGGGAAAGGAGAAGAGCTTGATAGAGAGGGTGAGGATGTGATTTTGGTGAGAGCTTACCCAAAGAGTGGGAGAACGCATCAGATACGTTTGCATTGTCAGTATCTTGGGATACCAATAAGAGGAGATGTGAAATATTGCGGTGTTCGTGAATGGGAAGGGATGGCATGTGATGGGCATGCATTGCACGCTGAGAGTTTATCGTTTGCGCATCCGATAACTGGGGAGTTTGTTCAGTTATGTGCTCCAGTTCCTCTTTGGGTGGAGGAATCTTTTGGCGATGTGAGTTGAGTTTTCAATCATAGAAGCAAAAATTATGTCGATTTCTTAAGGGAGAAGAGGAGATTGTGTTGAAGATTATGATCTTGTTTTACTGTAATTTTGAGAAAGGAAGAAGAGCAAGCTCCTGAAAGATTCTTTTTGCTATTACCGTTTTTTTTATGGAGGAGGAACATTGATTATTTATTCAAGCCTTGTTATTTTTGAAGCACCCTGCTCTGAGCTCTTCATACTATTGTGTGAACTTATACTCCTCCTATCTGTTTCTAATGTAGTTTGAAGCTTCAGGGTTGCATACTCGTGCATTTCTATACTCCCTCCTATAGCTTATTTTAGGTCAATTTTATTTTTACTAATCGCGAACTCCGTGGAGATTTCGTACTTGCTTTTGATGAATAAAAAGTATGCATGCTTGCACATAGATACAGAGCTTTATGTATGTTTGCCTCTTTAGTTCTTAGGATGGTGAAAAGTATTAGTTGTTCTTTAGATTGTATTTTTATCCTGTTTCTTGATTATGGAAGCTTTTTGATGCTGCTACTTCCTTTAACCCACCAAGAACAGAAAGTCCAATTTGCATACGCAAGTAGCACTACATCACACTACTGAACAAAATCCTGGAAGTTCGCCAGTAGCTGACATAGTCGCAGCGCGCTTACAACACACCTGTTTCAAATGACAATTGCTCATGAAGAGAACCACAGAAAACATGGGATCGGTTTACCGCAACCAAAATCCAAATAGAATCACGAGAAAACAACAAGAAAATTGGGAGAAACCAAGCTCTTCTAACTTTTTCTGTCAGCAATGAGTAAGTTATCGTAGAGGTCAACACTCAGCTATAATAAACAGATGAAACAGGCAGAATGGAAAAAAAAAAAATCAACTATCTCCCAAGGGCTATGGCATCTGGAGTCTATGAACAGGTTACATTGCCTTTGAAATGAGATATCCCACACTTTGCCATTTCTTCTTACAAGGAGGATAACTAATTCCTCTAATGCTTTTACAACATATAACTTACTACGGCCAACAACAGCAAACACAAAATTTTTTAAGGGAAGAAAACTTTAGAAAAAGGTACAAAATAATGCACTTGTCCTTAACCCACAAACAAGGGCTAATTAATGCTTTACCAAAGAAATACCAATGTCAATATGTGGCAGCATTACTCGACAACTTGTACATATAATCCCATTCAGGGGCATGCCAGGCCAATTTGAGAGCTGAAACCAAAATTGTCACTTCATCGCCAGGTGATGATTAAAACTATATTGGCACCCGGTCGTGGTATCAGCATCTCCTCTGAGGAGCGAGAAATAACCACTGTATTTATCTTTTCCACTTCTTCGAAAATTGATTGACACTATGAACAGTAATGGAAACAAAAAATACTGGTATCATCGTACTGGATAGGGCTCTGAACCAGCATTATTATTACCATTAACTGTCATCTCTTGGGAAGAATTGCTGATTGGTGTTGACTGACAATTGTCTCCACTTGTCTGTCTAGAATCTGTACTGTTAGTGAGGCATTTAGTTGAACTTTCTCCAGCTGTAGTTTCCTTCTCGGTACTGATGTCATTTGAGTGACCACCTGTATCTTCAGCTGGAGGAGCAGCTGTGTCTCTACTGGGCAAGTCACTGACAACAGCAACCTTACCATCCTCAGATTGTTGCTCAAGCCTGTTTTTCTTACTCAGCTCAGACTCTTCACTTTTGCTGTCAGGAGTCCTGCGTTTCAACTTGCTTGAAGAGTCTGTTGCTTTCTCACCCTCTGTAGCAGACTCAGGTTTCCTTGTTGGCGGGTTATAATCTTCATCATCTTCATCATCGTCATAGTCAACTAGCCCACCAGATCCAGGCCTGTAAAAACCAAATTAGATGTATAGCAGACAATCTAAGTATCTATATCCATCAAAACAAAGGGAACTTCAAAGCTCCACAGCAGGATGCATTCTTACAGATTGGATATTTTATTAAACCAGGTTGCAACATTTATCAAGATCCTAGATAAACAGGCATTTGGCCAGTCAGATCCAAATTCAAGCCATTTACTTCGCAAGTAAAGGTTTAAGTGGGGCCCTTGCTCTGGGGTTTGGTGTGGGTAGAAACTCGGAGAAGTTAGCAATCAGACTCGAAATGTATGAATTAATAATAATAGATAATCAGGGATTAATCTGGGATATAGTTGGTCATTTATTATCTGATTGGAGTTCAAGTTTTAACTATTATCCAACCACTCATGCAATGGGAACAAATAATTTGATCCAACTTCCAACTTCATACTCATATCCTGACAAATATGGATTTACATCCTCTCTGCTGAAAGCATGTGTATGGGTATAGAATCTATAGATAGGGCTAAACCATGTGATATGTTGCAACCGAAACCCAAATATGTCAATGCATACCGGTATAAATGTATGTATTGCTACATGTAAATTAGGTATCCATTATTTAGCTTGCATTACACAAAGAGCTTTCTGATTGTATCACACTTCAACATGAAGATTGACCCCATTTTACCTTCAAAATATTATCGTCATAAATAATATCTTCCGATTAGTATCTGAATTTGATCCTACCCCGGATTTGTTTTATCAACTATGGATATTTAGCTTTTTATTCAGACAACATTTCAACTTCTTCCAAATCAATACGAAGAAAATAAATACAAATAAGTAATACCAGTATTCGCTCCACAAACACCCCTCTATCAAACTAACTTATACTCGTTGTGTACTCAAGACCGTATAAAGCTAACAATGCAGCCAGACCACAATTCAATTAGATATGGAGCAGGCATATCCAACTTGCATCAACAATTCGACATTACCACGGCAGTTTCCCACAACATATTACAATTTGTTTATGATGACAGCTATAAAGAAGCTGTCAATGCTTAAGAGTAACAAAGAAGTTGATAACGCTGAGCACTACAAAGAGGTATGATTGACATGTGAATAAAAATGATGACAACAATACCTAACAGATGAGTGCGCAACTTTAGTTCCATTAGGCAAATTTGGGGATGCACCATGGTTCTGAGTATGAGCAGAAGCAGAGTCTTCTTCATCGCTGGTCAAAAAAAAACATATGAGCACCAAGATTAAGGGATATTCTTTACATAAGAGAAGTTGGGACCCCAGGACAAACCTGTCCTCGTTGAAGTAATCTTCTTCCTCTTTCTCAAGGGCCCGCTCATCAATTCTTTTTCTGCAGTCCACTATGTTAACGGCATTCTTTGTCTCACAAGGCTCAAGTGACTGTAAGAGGGTTCTGCAGTCCACTATGTTAACGGCATTCTTTGTCTCACAAGGCTCAAGTGACTGTAAGAGGGATTAACGGGAAATTAGTTCCCCAAATAACGGCATTCTTTGTCTCACAAGGCTCAAGTGACTGTAAGAGGGATTAACGGGAAATTAGTTCCCCAAATGATTCATTGCATGAACAACAGAGCAAGTTTTAATGTTCAACCATTAGTCTTGATTGTATTTTTTTTTTCTTCAAACTCTAATGGTAAATTCTAATATTTAATAATCAAAAGTTCAATCTAGTGGCGAATAAGGAGAAATAAAAAAACAAGTTTCTATATTTCACACCTAACTATAAATTTGTAATAAAAATAGAATTTTTTTAATTGCACATCTAGTAAAGAATTACAATACACTGAGCGGAAGATCATACCTGCTCATATTTGAGTTTTAAACCATGAATCGAGTCTAAACGCTCAAATTTCAGTAGTTGTTCCCAGAAAGAATTAACTATGTATAGGATAAGAGGTTTAATGTTCTCCTGCAAAAGATAAAATACAACTGAGATACATTACACCTACAAACCACCAAACCATTTAAAGAGGAAACAAGAGTACCTTGCGAATGTATTCGATGAGTTCAAGTACTCCTGAATGCAGCATATTGTAACGGTTGCCATTCTCAACAAAAGCCTCAATTACTGGTTTTAAAAGATTGTTTTTCACAATGTGGCGAATCAGATGCTCATCCTGTAAAATTAAAGCAATTTTAAATCAGCTTCCAGAAGCACAAAGGTCAATTCTATAGCTGGATGGGGAGAACAAATTAAAATAAACGCAGTTTACTTGACACGAAATTTCCATGAGTATACGGAAACTTAACTAAGTTTCGCTAGTCTTGACCACTTTTCATAATACTAACAGAAAAAAGATATCATGAACCATCAGAAATTTTTCCACACATACAAGATTGAAATAAGTCATCCATATGGAATTTTTTGTTGATGCGGGTATATAAACTAAACATGAAACTTTAGTTACAAAGCCTTGGTCCAACTACTTATCAACTTCTCTGTCACTCCTTATTGCAGGATAAAAATCTAATCATGTTATCCTGAGTCCTGATATCACTCACCCCTTCACTAAATGCAGCTTTTGCTATATGAACCTTTGCTTGAGGTAGTGATAAATAAAAAACCATCAATCCATTAAAACACATTCTGTTCAACTGCAAAATCAGATGCTTCTACAATAATAAGGTATGAGGCAAAAAAAAAGATATCCCAACAATGATCACCTCATATATGATAGATTTTCCAAAAAAAATCATAGGTTTATCCTGTAATTAGTTTTTCAATGACAGAAACAGAGATGGAAAACACAGTTTGGCTTTGTAATTTTCCTCCCTCTGGCATGGCTAGAAACAAAGATGGAAAACACAGGTAATTTTCCCCTCTCTGGCATGGCCAAAAATATGAGCACAATAGCTCTCACCCTTTCTTTGATCCATCTTTCATGTCTATGGGTAACCAGTACTGGTTATTGATAGCCTGGTCGTGCTCAAATTCTCCTAGATGAAGGCTCATGCATGCTATATATACCGCAACAACCAACCAAACCTAACTTGAACTAACAGGACTGGCCTTACTTGACATAGCCCAGTCATATTTCAGAACATGCACCCTTACCTTAAATCAACCTAACCTAACACAGTCTAGACTGAACCACTGAAAACAATCATGCTAAAGAAGATCCTTTCATAGAGTAGAATCAAGAGATTTTTCGAGACAGCAACAGAGAAAGAAAAAAATAAAAAGAAATTTTCTTCTTATGCCAATCCATTGAACGACAAGCACTAGCCTGTTAAATATAAGGATAAATTAATTGCACAAAACTAGCTCCAAGAATTTAGTCGAGAATCCTATTTATCAACGGTAAGTTCCCCATGACATACAGGATATGAAAAGATAACTTCGTACAGAAATGTCCTAAC